GAGTCTCGAGAGGCCACAGAGTGTTTCACAGAATACGATTGGCAGAGACACCACCAACATGGTCTGCAAATGATAGAAACAATACAAAAAGAAAAGAGAGGCCTTTGGACCCCAAAATTCTACTAGGAAGATGTAGGCTGAGAAAGTCATACAGCTGCAAACAGAGGCTCTCTTTTGTGGAAAGGAAGGATGATTCAGAAGGTAGTACCAAAGGCCTCGCAGGTGGAGCTGTGGAGAATATAAAAATGGCCAATAGGCACAGGAGATGCATCTTGGGGAAATGTGTTGGGAAAAATCCAAATCAAAACCACAACGAGATACCATTTCACATCTACCAAGATGGCAAGAATCAAAAAGATGGACAATAAAAGTGTTGGCCAGGCTGTGGAGAGAGTGGAACCCTCACACATTACTGGTGGGAAGGTAAAGTGGTACATCTGCTTTGAGAAACATTCTGGAAGTTCCTCAAGAAGTTTAACAGAGAGTTACCATGTGACCCAGTGATTCCACTCCTAGTTATATACCCTGGAGAGCTGAAAACATATGTATGAAAACTTGGACAGAAATCTTCATAACAGGAGTGCCTGGGTGGTTCAGTCGTAAAGCATCTGCATTTGGCTCAGGTCATGGTCCCAGGGTCCTGGGATCGAGCCCCATGTCAGGTTCCCTGCTCAGCAGGAAGCCTGCTTCTCCCTGTCCCTCTGCCTGCTCCCCCAACTTGTTCTCTCTCTCTCTCTGGCAAATAAATAAATAAAAATCTTAAAAAAAATAAAAGAGAGAGAGATCTTCATAACAGCATGATTCATAATAGCCCAAAGGTGGAAGAAACCCAAATGTCCATGCACTTACAAATGGATTGTTAAAATATGGCATATCCGTACAATGAGATATTATTCAGCCATAAAATGGAATGAAGTACCAATACATTTTACAACATGAATGAACCTTGAAAACATGATGCTAAGAAAAGAAGCCAGACACAAAAAGCTGTATTTGTATGATTCCATTTATATGAAATGTCCAGAATAAGCAAATGCATAGAAACAGAAAGTAGACTAGTAGTGTCCAAAGACTGAAGGGAATGGGGAATGGAGAATAATTAGAGCCCTGAAGTGTTCTGGAATTGGAGAGTGGTGATGGTTGTACATTGTGAATATACTAAAATCACTGGATTATGTACCTTAAAATGGTAAATTTTATGGCATGTGTGTTATATCAAAAACAAACAAACAAAAAACAACAACAACCATGGAGACTTACACCTGGACAGAAATAGGACTGAGTCTTAATCAAGGAAATTCCAACATTTTCCCAGCTGGATTTCAAAACTGCTATGGACCAGTGACTCCTGTGTCCCTCTCATTCCTCCCCAGCCCCAGCTGTCGTTATTGAATTATAATTAACATACAGTGTGATATCAGTTTAAAGTGTACAACATCATGATTCAACAATTCTATACATTGCTCAGTGTTCATTATACATCATTGTCGCCCTTTTTAAGCAGTAACGTCTGTAATGATTATCCCTTGACTGTCCCACCATTGTTTTCTGGATGTCGGGGATGGTCACATGTCTCTGTAGTTCACAGGTATTCAGATTGAGAGCAACTGTATTTAAAGCACTACATCCAAAGAGCCTCATGTGCACCTGGACCTAATTTAGGTGGTGCATTACTTTGCTAAGGCTGCCATAACAAAGTACCATAGACTAGGCGGTTTAAACAACAGAAATTTATTTTCTCGGGCGCCTGGGTGGCTCAGTTGGTTAAGCGACTGCCTTCGGCTCAGGTCATGATCCTGGAGTCCCGGGATCGAGTCCCGCATCGGGCTCCCTGCTCGGCAGGGAGTCTGCTTCTCCCTCTGACCCTCCCCCGTCTCGTGCTCTCTATCTCTCATTCTCTCTCTCTCAGATAAATAAATAAAATCTTTAAAAAAAAAAAAGATCAAGTGTAATAGGTTTGGTTTCTTTTGAAACCTCTCTTACCTCGCTTGCAGATGAGCATCTTCTCTCATGGTTTTCCTGTGTGCATGCACATACCTGGTGTCTTTTTGTGTTCCTAATCTTTTCTCACAAGGACACCACTCAGGTTAGACAAAGGCCCATCACCCATCTTAACGTAATCACCTCTTAAAGACCTTATCTCCAAATAGTTACATTCTGGGGTACTAAGGGTTAGGTCCTCAACATATCAATTTGGGAGAGACAAAACTCAGTCCATAACAGATGGCAAGTGTATCATAAATCCTTAAAACTTCATATTTGCCTGATGCGTCAACATCCCCACAACTAGGCTATGAGCACTTCACCAGGTGAGCAGGTGCACCAGTGTGATGAGGCTGGTTCCTGCCACAAGTTCTCCTTCTTGCCCTCTCCTGACTATAACCTAGTAACATTCAAACACACTAATGAAATTCCCTCATACGTTTTGTTTGTTTGTTTGGTTGGTTGGTTAAATATTTTTATTTATTCATTTGACAGAGAGAGACACAGTGAGAGAGGAACACAAGCAGGGGGAGTGGGAAAGGGAGAAGCAGGCTTCCCGCCGAGGAGGGAGCCCCACTTGGGGCTCGATCCCAGGACCCTGGGATCATGACCTGAGCCGAAGGCAGATGCTCAATGACTGAGCCACCCAGGTGCCCCGAAATTTCCTCATACGTTTGCTTGTGTGCCCCACCCTGACCCCAATAAAGGCACTTGGCCATGGGTCCTCACTCTCTCAGCTCCCCGTCTGCGGGGTTGAGGCTGCTCTCTGGGCACTCCTCTTATGTGGTCTCCATGTGAAATATCATGCCTCCCTCTTCTAGGACTTGTGGATATAATGAATCCTCACTTTTGTATACCTCTCTGAATGCAATTTCCACAGCTTTATTGGAATAACCCTTAAAGACCCCATGAGGACTTAGTTCCTCACAACACAGTAGAATTTTGAGCTTTTAGCTGATTGATGCTCTACTGGGATGAGGATTTTCAGGGCCTTGAGAGAGGTGTATATTGTATGTGTGAAGAATGTAAATAATTTGTGACCGGAAGGTAGAATGTGGTGGTTTTAAAATAAATCCACAGGGCACCTGGGTGGCTCAGTTGGTTAAGCAACTGCCTTCTGCTCAGGTCATGATCCTGGAGTCCCAGAATCGAGTGCATCGGGCTCCCTGATCAGCGGGGAGTCTGCTTCTCCCTCTGACCCTCCCCCCTCTCATGTTCTCTATCTCCTTCTCTCTCTCAAATAAATAAAAAAAAATCTTTAAAAAAATTTAAAAAATAAAATATATCCACAGATTCTTGATATTCTTCCTCTCAAGAAGTGAAACTTAATTCCCCTCCTGCCTAGCCCCTGTAGGCATTTGAGTTTGACTTACTCTAAATTACAAAATCTCTTTCTCCAGTTATATGTATATATATAGTAGAGGTCATGACATCCCTCTGTTTGATGTCCCTTCCCCAAGGATGATTAATTCAATAGGTTCTTCAATAGATCCTTGCTACCAGGGGGAAGGAGTCCAAGGGGGACCATGAGCAGGGATTTGTGGAATGCCTGTTCTGCCCAAATTTCAAGCCTATGTATTCGATTCTTTGCTCAGAATGTCTGCTTGGAACTAAGTTAGGAATCCCACTACTGCTGGTCAGGTATGATAAAAATAAGAATCTTAAAAGAGCTTCAAAACCAAATAGAAATCAGTCATATATATTAGGTTGAACCATATGAAATCACCAGCATTTAACTGCTAAAACAGCAGTATCATATGTTTCAACCTAATAATATATATAGTTTAACATATCCAATCCGCTCATAATTTATCCCTTCCCTCCTCTAGCTGGCTGGCATGATGGCTCCATCTGCAGAGATATGACAAAGATCAGTCACAGCTGCTCTCTTGGGCGGCCAGCCTTTCTGTGCAGGATGTCTGAATCCCGATAGTCATTGCCAGTGCTGCCCAAGGCAGGGGCTGCACGTGTTCATGAGACTCGGGTTATAACCCAAAGGTGCAATCTGTCTCTTGAGCTTAGGGCCCGACTCTAAGGTTTTCCTCCTTGTCATGTTTTCTTCCTGCTGTTACAGGATGGAGAACATGGGAGGCTTGGGTGGAGAGCAATAGCAACCAGGGAGTAGAGGTGGTGGTAGTGGAGGTGGTAGTGATGGTGTAAGGCAGATGTGCTAACCACTACACCATGGAACCGGTGGTAGTGATGGTGGAGGTGAAGATGGTGGTGGAGGTGTGATGGAGGTGGAGGTGGTGCTGGGGGTACCCAGGCACAGGGCTCTAGGACTTCTCAGTCACCTGCTCTGGACACAGAAAGTGGGACTGCTGCCCAATGCACACAGGACAGCCGCACCCCAGGTAACCTGCCTCTTACCTTGGGCCTGTTTGCTCTTGGGCTGTTCACTCTAAATAAACCAACTCACTCTTAAGTGATCTCTCTCCCCTGATCACTTCCCTTTACCTACTAACAAATGTTGGGATCGTAACACACGTGTGCACACCTACTACGGACGGTCTGGTTGCACCTGCTGTACCTACCGGGTCTTCAGAGACTGCCCTTCTTTAGCTGGGTTGGGACTATCATGAGCTTCTTTGAAGGTACCCCCTGGCTCTGGAAAATGGTCCTTAGTTTCTCCCCAAACATATCTTCCTGGGTACTTCTCCGTCTTCCTTTCTTTGGGGGTGGGGTAAGGGTTTGGTGGGTGGTGGCTGAACAAAACTCCCGTGTGCTATGGGAGAGATTGGGCACTTCTGGGAACCAAAGGGTGCCAAAAGACTCCTGAGGAGGAACAATTGGGAAACAAAGTTGTTCTTTGTCCCTGTCTTGTCTCAACAACAGCCAGACATGATAAACAAGAGACCATTTATTCCACATCACCCAAACAGTAAGCAAGCAGGAAGAAGGAGAAGTAATATCCTCCCTCTCTAACTCCTTGCAGTGATGAAGGCCACCCCCGCCCCAAGGCTGTGAGAAAGGATGAGGACAGGGACGCAGATGAATGGGCAGGATTTCCGACAAGGTTACGGAGATGCCTTCTTTTGCTCAGGATCCGGGACTTCCCTCTGGGTGACAGAGGCATGTGAGACAAGCGGCTTCTTCAGCAAGTTTGGTAGCAGGCTGGAGCGGTTGCTGCAGAACTCGGTGCCACAAGGACGGTTCATAATCACCCTCCAGAATTGTTGGTGGTTGAAGTAGCAGAGGGCTGCTGGGAAAGCACAAAGGGATGGGGCAGAGGAAATTTGGAGAACCGGAAGAAAGTGGCCAGCGAGGTGAGGCCAAAGGGAAGATAAATCCCTAAGAACATGTCCTTGGGGGTTACCACCCCCCCTCCCTGCACACTTCCTCTGCCCCGAGCCACCCATGTCCCCTCCTGCCCAGGGCCCTCAGGCCACTCACCACAGGTGACATAGAGGACAAACACCAGCCAGCCTATGAAATAGCTCCAGCCGATGGGGACTGATAAATTCTTCTTCAACTCAAAGATCCAGAGGTTAATAGGGAACAACATCAGGGTGAGGAAAATAAGGGTAACTAGGAGACAGGGATGGGAGAGATCTTATTCTTACCTGAGGACCCCACAGAGATTCTCCCTCATCTGCTGGGACACAGCCACAAACCACGATCAACCCCTCCAACCCCACCTCTCCAGGGACGAGGAAATGGTGGAGCTCAGTTCTCAAGGACCATCAGTTTTGTTCAGCCACCACCCACCAAACCCCTACCCCACCCCCAAAGAAAGGAAGAGGGAAAAGTACCCAAGAAGATGTGTTTTGGGAGAAACTAAGGACCATTTTCCAGAGCCAGGGGGTACCTTCAAAGAAGCTCATGATAGTCCCAACCCAGCTAAAGAAGGGCAGTCTCTTAAGACCAGGTAGGTATGGCAGGTGCAACCAGATGGTGAAGATAAGGCCCAGCACCAGCGCCAGCCAGAAAGTTATCATGGCCACCCCGAAGATTGGGTGATTTGTCCACAGCTTAAAACTATCTGGAGAAAATGAGAAAACGGGACGAACTTAGGATTCACAAAGGAGAAAAAGTATATCATAGAATGACAGGAGAAAAGGTTAACTAAAGAAATGCACATTTCTAAAAAAGATTTATCTTTATTTGAGAGAGAGAGAGAGAGAGAACTTGCAGAGGGAGGGGCAGAGGGACTGAGAGAGAAAAACCAGCAGACTCCTCACTGAGCACGGGGGACCCAATGCAGGGCTCGATCTCACGACCCTGAGATCAGGACCTGAGCCGAGATCAAGAGTCAGACGCTCAACCGACTGAGCCACCCAAGTGCCCCAGAAGTGCACCTGTGAGATTACAATGAAGTATCACTTTCACTCATTAAATAAGCAAGGATTGATATGGAGATTGTTTGATAATCCCAACCATACGAAAATGAAAAGCAGAGGACTTGGAGTGTGATTCTCAAAAGAAGAAATACAGAAGTCCCATATACACATGAAGCTCAATACAAAGAATTGCCAAGTAAATGTGATTTGTTAACCTATCAAATCAGCAAAGATCAAGACAAAATTGATGACACCTGGTATAGGAAAGGATTTAGAGAGAAGAGGTTCTCTCACACACTACCACAGGTCAGCATTTCTGATGAGTGACCTGGCACAAAATATCAGAAATAATGTAAAAGGTTAAGACCCTTTGACTTGGCAATGCTTCTTGGAATTTATGGTAAGGAAATAATCCAAGAACAGCACTAAGTCTGTGTGTAGGGATCTTCTCTGCACAGATACCTATATGTCCAAGGAGAGATTTGTTAAATGTATTATACCCATTCGTTGGATTATTATGTGTTCATTAAAAAATGATATGGGAAGGGGACGCCTGGGTGGCTCAGTCGTTAAGCGTCTGCCTTCGGCTCAGGTCATGATCCCAGGGTCCTGGAATCGAGCCCCGCGTCGGGCTCCTTGCTGAGCAGGGGAGTCTGCTTCTCCCTTTCCCACTCCCCCTGCTTGTGTTCCCTCTCTCACTGTCTCTCTCTCTGTCAAACAAGTAAAATCTTTTTTTAAAAAAATGATATGGGGGCACCTGGGGGTCACAGTCGATTAAGCGTCCAACTCTCGGTTTTGGCTCAGGTCATGATCTCAGGGTTGTGAGATTGAGCCTCGCGTCAGGCTCCGCACTCAGCAGGGAGTCTACTTGAGTTTCTCTCTCCCTCTCCCTCTGCCCCGCCCCCATGATTCTCTCTCTCTTAAATAAATAAGTAAATCTCTTTTATTTATTTGAGAGAGAGAGAGACAACGAGAGAGGAAACACAAGCAGGGGGAGTGGGAGAGGGAGAAGCAGAGTCCCCGCTGAGCAGGGAGCCCGATGTGGGGCTCAATCCCAGGACCCCGGGATCATGACCTGAGCCAAAGGCAGATGCTTAACAACTGAACCACCAGGCACCTCTAAATAAATCTTTTTTAAAAATGATATGATAGATGTTTGTCTCCAAACAGAAGATGTCTCGAAAGAAACGAGGAACCAGGAGTAGGGGGCTCCCTTCGCTGTGTCATCTTTTTTTTATTTTATTTATTTATTTATTTGACAGAGACACAGCGAGAGACGGAACACAAGCAGGGGGAGTGGGAGAGGGAGAAGCAGGCTTCTCACTGAGCAGGGCGCCTGATGCGGGGCTCGATTCCAGGACCCCGGGACCATGACCTGAGCCGAAGGCAGACGCTTAACGATTGAGCCACCCAGGTGCCCCCCATGTCACCTTTCATTTTGCTTCCATTTCCACTCCATTCACATACTACCTAATCAAATAAATCTTAAATATTCATGATGTTATAGAAATATTAATGACAGGAATAAATACCTAGAACTGCAAACGGGAGTTTGCAACACAGAGCATGGGAATTGTGGTTTTGAAAATATAAATATATACATTTATCAAAATACAAATAAATATGTTTATTTGTATATGTGTATTTGTACTTATAGATAACTCATACACACACACACACACACACAAGAGACTGGAAGTAAATCCATTGGCAATGCCAACTGTGATTATATCTATATGAGCAAATTTTAGGTCAGTTTTATTTTCTTTCTTAAACGTTCCGCATTTCCCACAATAACTAACTATGCAACTAACTTTTTTTATCAGAAAAAATTATCTGTTTATATATTTAGAATTAACAGTTGTTGCCACAAAGATACAATAAAACCAGCCTTCTTGTGCATTGTTAGTGGAAAGGTAAATTGCTATCACACTTTTTGAAAGCAACATGGAACATTTTATGAAGAACCTTAAAATATTTAACTCTTCCATCCAGTAAAGCCACTTTGGGAAATCAATACCAAAGAATTAATACTAAACACAGGAAAAAAAAAGTCATTAACAAATCTTGTTTCTCCTTCTTTTTGCAAATAGGACATTGAAAAATAAATTTTACCAAGAACAGAAAAATAAAATTCAAGTAAAAGATGACAATCTATTTAGTTGATATATATATCTATTAACTTATAATAGGGAAACATTTACTGCATCTCATAAAGATAAATTTCCTTAGAGATTTTTAAATTTTTTATATAAGATTTTATTTATTTATTTATTTGAGAGAGTGAGCAAGAGAGAGAACATGAGTGGGGAGAGGAGCAGAGGGAAAGGGAGAAGCAGGCTCCCCGCTGAGCAGGGAGCCCAACGTGGGGCTCATGGGGCTCGATCCCAGGACCCTGGGAACATGACCCGAGCCAAGGCAGACCCCTAACCGGCTGAGCCACCCAGGCGCCCCTAAATTATTTTTAAATAATCTCTACAACCAGCATGGGGCTCAAACTCACAACCCCGAGATCAAGAGTCACACCCTCTGCCGACTAAGCCAGCCTGGCACCCCAAAGATAAATTTTTAAACAATATAAATCGAATACTTAAAATAATTTAAAAGATATAAGGTTATTTATGAAGAATGAGTACAGCTGTGTAAAAACCATTCAAAACTTGTTCAAAAAAAAATTTTTTTTTAAAGCCTAGCAGAAACTTGAGTGCTTGGGGCTGGTCTTTGAGGAGCTCGGTTAGAGCAAGGCAGGTGCCTCCGTGAGTCTTGGAGCCAGACACGCCTGTATTAGAATTCTAAACCTGCTCTCTTTGTAGGTGAAAAACAGTCAAATACTGACCCTCAGCAAGGTACTTTATCTGAGTCTCAATGTTCTCATCGGTACAGGAAGGGTGATCATCCCTATTCCTTAGGGTTGGTTGAGGATCTATTGAGCAAATAGAATAAGTATGCAATAAATGATAGCTTTTTGTTTCCCCAAATTTATTGCGAGAAGGATGCATTTCTCTCATAATGGAAGAAACAAGAGCCGCATAACTTTTATTTTTATTATTGTGCTTTTACTGTTAACAAGAGTGAAGACACGGAATGGGGATCATGGAGGTAGAAGGTTCTGGTTTCGCACAAGAGCTGAGCAAGGAGGCCCGACGCTGGGAGGTGCAGGAGAGCATGGAGTACTGAGTTCAGGAACTGGCCATGAAGGGGCCGCGAGGGGCTGGGAAAGAAGGGACGAGGAAACCAGACCTGAAAACCCAGAGCTGGCCCAGAAAAGCAAGGCCTGAGGCAGAAGGGAGGAGAAGGGGCTGGGACCAGGGCCGGGGAGGGAGAGCGACCTGGGGGCTCCTCCTGAAACTGGAAGCTCGAGGTACACAAGCCTAGAGGAAGACAATCCCCACCTCGCTGGGGCTCTTCTCCCCATAGAACAGGGGGAGTTGTGTGATTAAGGAGTGATTCACCGGCGCTGAGAGTCCTCGCCCCTCGCAGCCTTGTTATAGCCACAGACTAGGCTCTGAGTCTTCGCAAAAGCAATGATCTGAGTCAGGCAAGGCGGTTTGGACAGAATGGATGGGGGCAGGAAGACCGGTCCTCGGTGGTCTCCTCCAGTGAAGCCCTCCTGCGGGCCAGATCACTGGGGATGACCCGAAGGAGGGGACAAGGGCACGGAGTGACCAAGGCAGACTGGAGCCCTGGGGTGGGATGGGGGCGGGGAGGGTCTCACCATTCCAATTTTCTGAGTTGGAGCAGCTCTTGGATTTGCAGATCCGCAGGGGCCCCATGGACATGATGTGAGTGGCCGTGTAGATTCTGGTGCTGACATTGGTGGGCCAGCGCTGGTAGAAGCGGCTTCGAGAGAGGCACAGCCATTTCTTGGAGAAGACCATGACCAGCAGCAGGGCAAAGGCGACCAGGCTGAGCTCTGAGGCCAGGAGCTGCACTATCCAGCGGGAGCTGTGTGTAATTCTCCACCACAGGGGCAACATGGAGACCCTCCGGGGCTCTGAGCTGTAATCCCTGAGCACCTCACTGCTGGGCTCAGACAGTGAGTTCCTTACCCCCTCTTCTTGTTCCAGACTTCCCTCTGCCCCATCCTGCTTCTCAGCATCCGACTTCCTTTCCAAGTGTCTGGTGCTCATCTCTTTCTCCTCCTGACCCCGGGAACCCATCCCTAAAGTCCCCTGCCCCCATCTTGAGCACCCCCTGTCTCCCCCTCTCCCCTCCACCCCATCTTCCCCTTCTCTTGCTGGGCTCAGTCGTCCCTCATCTTCTAAATATTTCCATCCGGCAGAGCACCTGGCGCCACAGCAGGGCCTGGGGTCTGGGAAAGAACAACCCACTCAGTAGGACAGGGCCCCTAACCGCCACGGAATATTCCTGAGGGGTGGGGGAGGGGCCCACCGTGGCAGCCCACTCCTAAGAGCTGTGGTTTCTGAGGGTGTCCCCTTCTCTTCCTAGGTCCTCTCCCCTGACCTTACCCCCAAATGCTGACAGATGGAGCAGGAGGGAGAAGATGCTTGTCCCCAGGGAAACAGCCTCCCTCTGTTGTGCTTTGGAAATGTCTTCTCACGGCTTCCCCTACCCCCTTCCCCTCCCTCCCACCTCCACTCACTTCTGGTGGACAGTTGCCGTTCCCTTCCCTCCTCTCTGTACTTCCCTTCTTTTTCCCCTCAGCACCGGAAGGGGAAGGACATAGGATAAGGCGGCGGGGCGGGGGGCTGTCACACAACCTGAAATCTTTCTTTTTTTTAAGATTTTATTTTTCTGAGTAATCTCTATACCCAACGTGGGACTTAAACCCACAGTGCCAAGATCAAGAGTCATGTGCTCTACCGACTGAGCCAGCCAGGTGCCCCACAAGCTGAATTTTTTTTTTTTTCTAACCTCCCTTTTAAGTTACAGGAAAATAGATCTGAGTCACCTGGGGCAGCCTGATTATAGTGGCTTCTGGGAGAAGAGAGACCCTGGGAATTCTCCTGAGGAAAAAGCCTCTCGGATTGGGGATGTGAGTTTGAATCCCACCAGAGTTGGTTTACTCTGTGGAGGCGGTGAGATGTGTGGTTAAGGACACAGGCTTTCAGGGCACCTGGGTGGCTCAGTCGGTTAAGTGTCTGCCTTCGGCTCAGGTCATGATCCCAGGGTCCTGGGATTGAGCCCCACATCGGGCTCCCTGCTCGGCGGGAAGCCTGCTTCTCCCTCTCCCACTCCCCCTGCTTGTGTTCCTTCTCTCGCTGTGTCTCTGTCAAATAAATAAATAAAATCTTAAAAAAAAATTCTTATGATCCCATGAATGTATCAGATATTGTTTTTCAAAAGGTAATCAAAAATCGTCAAAGAAAGGAAATGCAATCTTAGTGATTCCTAGGTCTGCAATGAGGGCTATTTATGTAGTCACAATATACAAGGTAAACACTGTTAATTGAGTTTCAACTTTTAGAGTCAACAGATGGACAAAGCACGGAAGACTTAACTATGGCTACAAGAGTAAACATAGCTGTTATCAGCCTATATGCTGTCCAAGTAAACGTTTAGAAGAGGTAAACGGGCAGATGGAAGGAGGAGAAGAGGGCTGAAGGAAGGGTGGCGGGGGCGGGTACCTGACAACAGGGTCTCCACAGAAGGCTGTGCAGGATGTGCACTGCACAAGAGCCCACGGCCGGGGGGTGGGGTGAGTGAGTGAGAACTGAGGTCCAGTCTGCATTCTGCTCAATAAGGGACACCCCTCTAAGGGGTCTCCATTGACCGGGAGGAAGAGGCGCTCTGTTCGATATCTCGTAAAGGTGCAACCGCCCCCCAAGACAACCACCCCAACATCTATTCAGAGGGGCTGCCTTTTAACCACAAGTTTGGAGGCACCAGGGTGCCTTACAGGCTAGCCGCAGTCCCGGCCAACAACGTGACTGCATATCAGTGGAAGTTCTCTGGTTGCAAGCATCAACGCAGACTGACTAAGTTAGGCAAAAAGGAATGTCTTGGGGCAATAGTGAGTGAACTCAGACTCAAACAGGAAGCCGAACGTCCACTCCAGGGGCCCGGGGAGCACGGGGGAATCCTCCACAGGAACTGGCCCCCCTGCTCACTGCTTCCCCACAGTGTACCCCACCAACCTCCTGCATCCTTGTCTATTTGCGATCGGGATTCCAAATCTCAGAGTCTGCCTGGCCTCAACTGGGTCACCTGTCCACCTCTGGGTGGGAAGGTGGATGCCCTGACCGACAGCGCACCAGAGCCACACGGACTTGGAGAGGGACAGTTCCCCAAAAGAAAGGAAGCTGAGCCGTCAAAAAAAAAATGATAATGTGGGGGCACCTGGCTGGCTCAGTCAGGGGAGTTCTCAACTCTTGATCTTGGGGTTGTGAGTTTGAGCCCCACATTGGGTATAGAGATTACTTATTTTAAGATTTTATTTATTCATGAGATACCGGGGAGGGGGGGAAGGCAGAGGCAGAGGGAGAAGCAGGCTTCCCGCTGAGCAGGGAGCCCAACGTGAGGCTCGATCCCAGGACCCTGGGATCACCACCTGAGCCCAAAGCAGACGTTTAGCCGACTGAGCCACCCAGGTGCCCTAGGCATAGAGATTACTTAAAAAACTAAAATAAAAAATAAAAATAGTGGTAACTCGCCGGCACATGGACAGAGTGGAAGCCAGAATGGAGTGCAAGGTTGGGAGCTTTCCGAAAAGGAAAGTGCTCACTGTCCCACCTGACGGCATGGACGCCTGGACATCCCTATGGGACACTAGCCTTCAGTGACCAAGGGCAGGGCCGACCTGGAGAATGTGGACCCAGATTCAACAAAGGCTTATTTGTCACTCCTCAACGGTCCACAGGGACTTGCTTTGCTGCCTGCACAACACCCAGAAACAGCCCTACCCCAGGCGGGCTCACCCTGATACACACACACCAGTGCGGATCTCCTTCGCAGTGAGCTCCCAGGCCCCTGACGTTGCCAGAATATGTCAATGGCCAAAGTCCATGAGCTGCGAGATGGCTTCCCTTTTGCGTCTGTGAATGTCATTGTTGGTTATTCTTCAAACTCTAGTGTGTACTAAGGACCCGGGCGTCCCATTACAACGCAGAGGTCACACTTCTAACAAGTTTCTAGCTGGTGCCTGTGCGATGGTCTGATGATAACATGCTGAGGAAATCTGGGTTGCCGGGCTGCCTTCCCCAAAATGTCCCTTGACCTGCAGAGTTTGGATACATGGGGAAACAATGGTGTCCCACTTGATTGGTTCTGCCTCTACCGGAAACTCCATTGCCTTGTATATACCAACTGAACAAATAGAAAAACACTGTGCTTAAAACAAATCAAGATGTAACTGCAAAATTAAGAATTCCTGCTCTTTGAAAAAAACACAGTTACCAGAATGAAAAGGCAAGCCACTGAATGGGAGAAAATATTTTCAAATCACATATCTGATAAAGGACATATATCCAGAATATATAAAGAACTCTCAAAATGCAGTAATGAGAAAATAAACCACCCAGTTTTTTCAAAAGCTGAGAGTTTTGAAGAGAAACATCACCAAAGAAGATACGCAAATGGCCAATAAACATTTGAAAATATACTGAGAATCATTAGTTATGAGAGAATCAGAAATTAAAACCACAAGGAGGGGTTCCTGGGTGGCTCAGCTGGTTAAGCGCCTGCCTTTGGCTCAGGTTATAATCCCAGAGTCCTAGGATTGAGCCCTGCATGGGGTCCCCTGCTCAAAGGGGAGTCTGCTTGGGATTTTCTTTCTCCCTTCCCCTCTGCCGCTCCCCCTGCTTGTGCGCTCTCTTTCTCAAATAAATAAATAAAATCTTAAAAAAAAATTAGAAACAACCCAAATGCCCCTCCACTAAGAAATGGACAAACTCTGGGCGCCTGGGTGGCTCAGTTGGTTAAGCAACTGCCTTCGACTCAGGTCATGACCCTGGAGTCCCGGGATCGAGTCCCACATCAGGCTCCCTGCTCAGCAGGGAGTCAGCTTCCCCCTCTGACCCTCTCCCCTCTCATGCTCTCTCTCTATCTCTCTCTCTCATTCTCTCTCTCTCTCAAATAAAAAAAATCTTTAAAAAAAAGAAATGGACAAACTCTGATATATCCATACAACGAAATATTACTCAACAATAAAAAATAATTAAGTACGTGGATGAATCCCAAATACATTAAGCTAAGCGAAAGAAGCCAGATTTGAAAGGCTACCTATTGTACGATTCCATTTATATGACATTATAGAAAAGGCAAAACTACAGGGGACAGAAAACAGATAAGGGGTTGCCAGAGGCTGGAATTGAGGAAGAGGTTCACCACAAAGGGGCACAGGGGAATTTACAGGGGTGATGAAGTCTTTCATTTCTCAGTTGTGGTGGTAGTTACATGACTATATACATTTGTCAAAAATCTCTGAACTTTACACTGAAAAGGGTGAATTTCTCTGTATGTAATCTGCACCTTAAAAATACACACTAATGGGGCGCCTGGGTGGCTCAGTCGTTAGGCATCTGCCTTAGGCTCAGGTCATGATCCCAGGGTCCTGAGATCGAACCCCGCATCGGGCTCCCTGCTCGGCGGGAAGCCTGCTTCTCCCTCTCCCACTCCCCCTGCTTGTGTTTCCCTCTCTCCTGCCTCTGCAAGGTTGGGAGCTTTCCGAAAAGGAAAGTGCTCACTGTCCCACCTGACGGCATGGACGCCTGGACATCCCTATGGGACACTAGCCTTCAGTG